GCGAGCCGCGGCGCGCCGCGACGCTGCCGCCGTCGCCCGTCCGCGCCGCCGACGGCGGCGACGCTCGAGCCTCGACTCGGCTCGATGGCGGCGGCGGCGACGTCGGCGGCGAATGCTCGAGCCTCGACTCGGCTGGACGGCGGCGGCGGCGACGACGACGGTCGCGCTGGACCCTCGACTCGACGGCGGCGGCGGCGGCGGCGACGGCGCTCGGTCTTCGACCTCGACGATGCCGCCGCCGCTCGAGGTTTGCAGGTTTTTCTGCATTTTCGGTCTCTGGTGGCCCGTATCGGACCCTGGGGCCGTCAGGAGTCGGTCTGGGGTGTAGACCTTTCCAGGATGGGCCCCAGGACGACGCTTCCCCGGGGACCGATTATGAGCGGATGGAAGGGTCGGTCATTGTTGCTTGTGCCCCCCGATCTGGGGGGTGTCTGGAGTGCGCCGCCGTCGTCTTCGTCGTCGTCGTCGTCGTCGTCTTCGCCGTTGCCGCCGCCGTCGTCGTCGTCGTCGTTGGCGGCGGCGGCGGCGTTGTCGGCATCGTTGTCGTCGTCGTCGTCGTCGTCGTCGTCGTCGTCGTCGTCGTTGTCGTCGTCGTCGTCGTCGTCGTCGTCGTCGTCGTCGTCGTCATCGTTGTCGTCGTCGTCGTTGTCATCGTCGTCGTTGTCGTCGTCCTTGCCGTCCTCGTCGTCGTCGTTGTCGTTGTCGTCGTTGTTGTCGTCGTCGTCGTCGTCGTCGTCGTCGGTTTCGTCGTGGTCGTGGCCGTCCGCGTCGTCGTCGTGGTCGGCGTCGTCATTGTCGTCGTCGTCCTTGTTCTCGTGGCCACGTTTCCGTCGTCGTCCTCGTCGTTTTCGTTGTCGTTGTTATGGTCCTCGTCGTCCTCGTCATCCTCGCACTCCTCCTAATCCTCCTCATCGTCCTCTTCTTCTTCTGTGGGCCATTGTGGCAATCGGAGGGTCTAGCATGCTGTTGTGCACGCATGTTGTGCTCGAAAGCCATTCTATTGCGGTCCTGACTGGGTCCAGCTTGCCTCGTCGCCTGGTGGTCGCGAGCACATTGAGGTGCCCACAGGCGCGTTGTGGTGCTCGCAAGCTCCTCAGGTGCTCACGAGAAAATCGTTGAGCTCGCAGTCATTTTGCGGTGCTCGCAGGCTATTGTAGTACCCACAGGGTCCACGTCCCTTTTGCGCGAAGTTGCGGTAATATCGCGGTGCTCGCGTGCTGTTGCGGTCCGTACTCGCAGGTTGTCCTGTTCTGGTGCTATGGTTGCAGAGTCTGGCATATTGTTTCGCACATTCTAGTGCTCGCAATGATGTTATTGTTCTGGCAGGGTCTGTCTTTTTCTCCTCGCCTCTCGGTGGTGTTAATCACGCGTGGTGCTCGCGGACATCTTGTGGTGGGTGCGCACAGGCGTTACGACCGCTTGCCAATAGTCTGATGTACGCGCGGGCGATGCGGTGGCTCCAGAAGTACATTGCGGGGGGGGTGTTATGGTCCCCGCCCTGCAATTACGCCGTTTGTTGCCACGAACAGTTAACACGCTCTCTTCCCGTCTTCCTGCTCCTAGTTAATGTTTCTCCTTACCTTTCTCCTCCTCTCCGTCGTCGTCGTCGTCGTCGTCGTCGTCGTTGTCGTCGTCGTCGTCGTCCTCCTCCTCCTCCTCCTCCTCCTCCTTCCTGAGCAGGAGGGGGAGGAGGCGGATGCTCAGGAGGAGGAGGACGGGGCTTAGGAGGAGGGCGACGAGGAGGAGGTCACGACACAGCACACGCTTGGCACGAGCCTCGGGCTGGAGGCGCCCTGCGCGCCCGCACAGAGGGCGGGCGGGGGCTCCGTTTCCCGCGGTTGGCCGGCCGCCCTGGCTCGAGGGCCCTGGCCGCGGGCCCCCGGGGGCGCCCGCCCCCCCCCCCAGGCAGTGGCGAAGCGTCCTGGCGCGCCTCCTTAGGCCTGCCTCAGAATGTTCTAAGAACCTCTCCTGGTTCGCCCGAAATGTTCTTAGAATATTTCTGGCTGGGGCTGTCTTGTTTCAACGCATCGGGTTTCTGTTCTAAGAACGATGTTCTTCTGATTCGAACATTTTTGGGCCTATAGGAATGCTGGGACGGTCGGTCGCTGCTCAACGCACCCCCCCCGCCTCCAGAGGCCAACAACGTATGTACACGTAGGTCGTTAGCTTCCGCTGGAGTGGGTCTGAATGCGGACACTCGTGCACGTAGTGGGCCCTGCAAACGACAGGGCCGTTTTTCACCAGTTCCGTTTTGCATTTTTTTGTCGGCTCCGACGCCGTTTGCTCACCGATTCCGTCGCCGTTGTTTTACCTGTTCTCGCTCTGGTTCCAATCCTGGAGCCGTTTTCTTGCCGTTTTTGGAAGCCGTTTGTTGGCCGCTTCCATGTTCAAGAGACCGCTTTCTAGAAAGGGTAAACATATGGCGCTGCCGTTTCCAGAGCCCACCAAGGGGCGTACGTGTACACATGTCGTTGCTCGCTCCCTCCTCCTCGCCCCAGTAGTCGTCGTGTCCGCAGCCGCGTCCGCGTCGTCGTCGATGACGTCGTTCGTCATCCACATCGTCGTCGACGTCGATCGCTTCCGCTGTCCCCCTCGCCGCTGCTACCGCCGCCGCCGCCGCCGGCGTCGTCGTCGTCGTCGTCGCCGTCGTCGTCGTCGTCGTCGTCGTCGTCGTCGTCGTCGTCGTGGTGCTGCTACATCTTCGGCGTGCTCTCCGGCCCTTCCGTAACATCGTCGTGCTCCCCCTCCTCTTCCTCCTCCAAACATCTCGCTCCTCATCCCTCTTCCTCCTCCTCATTCCTTCCCTCCATCCCTCCTCCCTTTCCCTCTCACCCTCCTCGTCCACGACCCTCCCCAGGTGTCTGTACTTGTACTCACTCTCCTTTTCCTCCTCCCTTAGCCATCCTGCCTCCTCCTCGTCCTCCTCCTCCTCCTCCTCCTCGCCTCCTTCTCCTCCTCCTCCTCCTCTTCCTCCTCCTCCTCCTCCTCCTCCCTCTTCCTCTCTCCTCCTCTTTCCCCCCTTCCTCCTTTACAAGTGCACATTCTGAACACTGGTCTCCCCTTTCCCCTGACTATGTCCGGAAGATATTCGGCCTTCTCCGCGTATGGTTGTAACACCCAGGATGTGAAGCATTGATTTGTCATTCTTGTTGCATTCATATTGTTTTCGGTGGTTCGAATCTTGCTCCCGCTGCAGCGTGGGCCTCATTTTCGGATCGGCGCTTTGCCCCCGTCGTGCTCTCGCCCCAGCGCGGACCACTTTTCTAGACCCGAGTCTTTTCTCATTGCTGTCGCCCCCCTCGTTTCCCCTCCTCCGCCTTCCCCTGGTCCTTCTGCTCCTCCCGCTCCTGCCTATCCGCTCCTGCTGTCGCTTTTCGTCCTCGTCCTCCTCCCTCCTCCTCCTCCTCCTCCTCCTCCTCCTCCTCCTCCTCCTCCTTTTCTCCTGCTATGGGCCACGCCTCCTCCTCCTCCTCCAACTTTCGCAGCTCCCTTCTTCCGATTGCGCATGCTACGATAGGGGTCATCTTTGGAGCCCCAGCCCGATATGAAACATGGACATGCGTCGACGGATGTAGGAAACAGCGCAGCGAGAAGGGATGCGTGAGAGGGCTAGGATGTCAGACATGGGGCGCGAGAGCACCTAGCTTGCCTCCCTTGCCTCTCCGCTCGCCCCCCTCCCCAGTCCCCCTCCCCTCCTCCCAGGCCCCCCCGCCCTCCTGCTCCCTCGCCCCCCCCTCCCTCCCCCCCACCTCCCCCACGATACCCGACGACGCGGAAAACTTGCAGCACCGCATAACATCACCACCGCAGCCCCGGACCTCCTCTTCTCGCTGCGCCACTTTCCGAGCCGCAGATCGATCCGTGAAGGCCCCGGGGCCCGACACCGGGCAGAACCACCCGCGGCGAAAAAAGTCGCAGCGCCAGGATCTCGGGGCGCGCCCCGTCCCCCTCCACCCGCCCCGACGAAGGAACAACACACACCCTATAGGGGGGTCGGCGGGAGGATGACTGGCTGTGGGTATGGGTGCGGGTTGTCGGACTCCGGGGGGGGGGGGGGCTCCTGGCCCCCTCCGTCCCCCCCATGGCTATGGGTATGGGTGTATGCTGTTCGTCCCCCCCGCCCGCCGCGCGCCCCCCATGGCGTCGCACGCCCTGCCAGGGCCGGCGCCGCCACCCGGCAGCACGGCAGAGCCCCCCCGTTCTGCTCCCCCGCTCCTCTCCACCCAGGCCTCCCTCCCCTCCGCTCCCCCTCTCCCCCTCTCCCCCTCCTCCGCCCCCCCCCCTCCTCCCCCGGCCGCACGCCGCGCGCCGCCCATGGCGTCGCCCGCCCTGCCAGGGCTGGCGCCGCCACCCGGCATCGGGCGTTGCGCCGGGGGGGGGGGGCGATAAGGGGGGGGGAGAGGTGAAGCAAGGTGCACCTTGTGTTCACCGTATAGGGGCCCGACAGGGCCCCCCTGTGGCCCAATGGGGGCACGAAAGGTGATGCTTCTGCGCCCCCCCGTTCCCAGACCCCCGACGCCATGTTTGTCTCATGAAGTCGATCCCCAGAGATCTCGACCCATTCCCCAGGACCAGGTTTTCATCTGGAGTCATTATTTGACGGCCCTGGGGCCAAGCGAGGGCCCCAAGAGGCAGAAAATTGTCAAAACCTTCTGTCATGATTTTCTTCCAACTCGGGGTGAGGGGGTTCACAGCGGGAACCCCTACCAAGAGGCACCCTGCTTGCCTGCAGGGTGTCCTGGGTTTCTTGGGTCTCGATGGTTTTGCGATGGAAGGCGTGGCGCTCCCATACAACAATTCAATGGGCATCCCAGGGTTTCAAGGCTGCGTTTATTGTGGAAATTTTCTTGTGGTCCAGCTCCTACGTCTCCGAGCGGCGGGCCCGCGTTGTGGGCAGCAGCGCTGCGTCGCAGGAACCGGGGGCCTGGCGCCGGCGTAGTTCGCGCCGGCGCGCGGACTCGCGGGTGCTGCTCTTTGCATCGCTCGGATGTGTGCACCTT